TTAATACAAATACATTTTCCAGGGCGAGACGATGAGGCAACCACAAGCACTTCCACTGGTTCAAGAGGTCCACGAGGGAAAAATGCACAATATTACCGTGATTACAGAGCACGGAAGCGAGCGGAGCAGGAAAAAGAGTCGTTGAATAGAACTAGTGATCCTTCTACGACTACTGATTCTTCTACTATTAACGTCGCAGGGTGCGAAGTTAAACTTCTTCCACGCGGAGGGACTCCACGCACTATTTTTTTCTTTTTTGCTTCTTCTATCTCAATTTTCTATTCCTCAATAGAGGCAATTTCTACATTTTTTAAAAGCAAGACGAAGAGTCATAAAAAATAAAATTTGACACATTTTTGTGACTGCATATTGTCTTTTATTCATTTTTGTATTTTATTTTTATGGGTCATTTATTTAAATAACGTGTCATAAAAGGGAGGAGTTCGGAAAAATGAGTTGAAATTGTTTGCAGTACGGATATAGTGAACTCCCGGTTATAGTGAACCGATATTTCGGCTCCTTGAAGGTTCACTATAGCGGGGTTTAATAATAATAAAAGCTGCTTTTCGCTTCTTTGAATAATTGAATATTATAATTGTGTGAAATAATTCTCGTGACCTAAAAGAAATTCTCAAAACATGATCCTTTCTTTCATGCTCACTTTGGTGCACAAAAGTAAAAAATTTTTTTTAAACTATCTAAAATTGTTTCCGTTACATAATAGAAATTGCTGCCGGCCCAAAAATGCAATTAAACTTTAGAAAACAGACTACAAAAAAAATTGTCGTTGAATCAGAAAATGATTGAGAGGTCACTCTTTAAGATGACGAAAATGGACACAGAATTCAGGACACGAAGACCACTTATGTTTAACAAAGGAACAATTAAATCAGAAGAAGGAATGCTTAGTCCAAAAGCTTGCGTATTATTAACCGGTTCGAACAGAATATCATAAGGCACCTTAAAAGTGGTTTTCGAGGTCATGGCGTGCAGGACAATTATTAGAATGGAATAAATAAAACTAGACTATGTTCAATTTTAAGCAGGAAGGGGGAAAAAATTGATTATCATGTTTGTTTAGAGGTACAGTTATTTATCTATCGTTAAATGAGGTTGGATTTGTTTATTCTTTTAGCTACTCAGGTAATTCAACTCAACTCCAATTAGACTTTCAGACGATTACTTAAATACAGTCAAATCCCGAACTTTCAAGAGACCGAAATTTCGGTTCACTATATCCGTGGTGCAAACAATTTTAACTCATTTCTCCGAACTTCTCAGTTTTATGACACATTATTTAAATAAGTGACCTATAAAGATAAAATACAAAAATGATTAAAAAAAACAACATGTGGTCACAAAAAATGTGCTCACTTTTATTTTTTATGACTCCTCGTCTTGCGTACAAAACATTGAGGGATGACCTTTACTGAGAGCTAAGAAACTGAGATAGAAGAAGCAAATAAGAAGAAAATACTGATGGCTACATTCCATTCAACAGATGGTTTTAGAAATCTGTATACGTATTTCAAGTAGACGTTTCAAAATCACAGAAAAATGAAGGAAAATAATGAGTCGAAGGCAGAAAAACTTTCATCATATCCAATTTCCACTCATCTTTTGGTTCACTAAGTAATAATATTATATGTTGTATGGCAAGGCACGGGAGCGAACATTTCGTTCACTATAAATCATGTTCTCTATAACGGGTTGTGACTTTATATGCATATTTTTTTAACTATTTAAATGTAGTATTGCGAAGCATGACACGTAGAAATTGAACAGAACACTTCGGTAGAAACTTTTGTATTGTAGTGAAATTTTTCCTTTTAAGCACAGTCCCACAGATGGAAAAGACACGCTTTCCAGTAGAACGTTGAAATCAAGCATCACTGGCTGCAGTCGGTAAGCGGGTGGGTGACCACTTTGATCAGCCTGCGAGGGGACCGAGGTTGCGTGGTATAGGTCCTCGATAAATTGTTCTACAGTGAAGTGCTCGACTTCACACTTAGGTAGTTGGGCTACCGAAGCTGGGGTGCCATCCCCTCTGCAGAGGATCAAAACGGCGATCGGATCATCCTCAGGGATGTTTTCCAGATCGTCGCCAATAGCCCATTGTGCTCTAGTGCGACGTAAATCTACCTTAATCTGCCAGAAATATCATCGAGACGATTCATGGTAATAGATTCCTTCAACCCTATTACTGTTCATTATTGAACAATACTCAATTAAAAGTATTTTGTTTTTGCATGTTAGGCAAGTGAATAAAATACTAGGGGTAGATGCGAATAGTTCATATAGCTCTTTAGGATCGTTTTACTTAACATGAACGTAACTTTTAATAAACAATCTACAAATAAATGCTTCTTTTACACGGCGACAAGAAAAAGCTCTTTTTCGCGATTGCAACAAGGAACTGAAATATCAAGCTTACCATCATATGTTCATAAATTTTTGAATGAAAATTATTTTCTCAGGTGGACAACGAGAAATAGAAACAAACTGAGCTAATGAAAAGTTACCAGTTCATGTCAACAAACCATATTTTGTGATTAATTATACATTTAAGTATGTTCAATAAGGATTTAGAATTACAGCGGGAAAAATTTTATAAGCCCGATCTAAAATGCTTTTTTTTTCCATTTCTTATCCTTTCCGCGAGTTAATATTAGAGCAAATTTACTGAAATTATGTGCAAACAATGAATTTTATTAATTTTGCACATAAAAGATCGTAAAGTATATACATTTAAAAAATGAAAATCTAAATCAAAGTTTCACAAGATGAATATGTTGCCCATATTCAGAACTTTATTTTAATTTGTTTTCGAAAAAAAAAATTAGTATGAATAGAAAGCTAAACTGAAACAAGAATTGAAAAGAACAAGTATGAAACTCTAGTCCTTCCATTCCCAGTGGCTCCCTCTAGGAATGGACTGTTCTTGTCTTTAAAGGTAGCGTAAAGTAGGGGATGCGTGCCATTTATCTTTAATCAGATATAGCAGACAAAATTTGGAAACAGAAAATAAAATATTACTTTTCTAAAAATTAAACGCATTCGAGTACGTCACACTTTTTTAATCCACATTTTGTATTCATTTCTATTTTATATTATTCATTTTTCTTCAGAAATTTGAGCTTTTTTTTCCGCCTCGGAATATGTTACGAATTCCTCACAATTTAGAATCGGAAAAAGTTTTTGCGTAAGGAAATACATACCAATGGCACTTAAACAGCAAAGTGAGAAGAAAGGAGCAAATGGATTCTTCAAAATTATCAGTGGTGATCTATACAGTCAAACCCCGCTTTAGTGAACCCCCGGATAGAGTAAACTAAACGTTCACTCCCGTTCCTTGATGGAACTTTTTTTTCTGCCTTCGACTGATTTTTTTCTTCATTTTTTGAATGTCTACATATAATACATATACCGATTTTTAAAATCATCTATAGAGTGAATTTTGTAGCCGTGAGCATTCTTTCTTGTCTGCTTCTTATATTTCAGTTTCCGATCCCTAAAGTGTTTGTACGCAATACGAAGAGTAATGAAATAAAAGTGAACACATTTTTTGTTAATAAATATTGTTTTTTAGTCATTTTTGTATTTCATTTTATGGGTAATTTTTTAAATAATGTGTCATTAAAAGGGAGGAGTTCAGAGCCATTAATTAAAATTGTTTGCTGTATGTGAACTTCCCGTTATAGTGAACCGAAATGTCGGCCTCTTGAAAGTTCGCTATAGCGGGGTTTGACTGTAATACATTTATTGACTTTCTAAACCAGCAAAAGAAAGACAACAATCCATGCCGTATAAGGATGCATCTTGGCATTGAAAGACTATAGTAACAGATTAATAACTCTTATATAATAGCAGATTAATAATTCCTACAGTAACAGAATTATAAAAAAGAATTCCATAAATCTTACCTAAAATATCAAAGACTGTGGACGATTCCATCATCCTCTCAGAATGATCCGTGCTACCTCGAGGGTCAGGAGCGTCGCCATTTTGTGAGGAATAAACTGCCATCCCAGTGTCCACTTCAGAAATACTTACCAGGTTGTCATCACATTGCTTTTGAATTTTGTTATTCGTTATGACATCTTTATTTGGTAATGTTTCAGAATCACCTGTCGTGTTATCCTTAAAATCAAGAGAGTGTTTTAAGTAGGTTGAACTGTGTTCTAGAACGCTAGGATTCTTGCAATTGTGTTCCTGTGAATGATCAGCATTTTTATCGTAACTGCTGTTGATTTCAGCGACATCCTTATGGATAGAGTTACTGGGCCAAAAATGAGAAAATTCATTATTATTCGAAAATTCTATTGTATAATATAACTTATTGATGCCCTCAGTGTCTTTCAATTTACTACTTTCCTCGGCGTCTTCTGCGTCAAATGTCGGATCTGAGCCATTTTCTTTATCTGAGTCGAATTCAAAATTGGAGCTACATTTTTCATTTTTGCTTTCATCAGTGCAGTGACTCTGGTCATCTTCTTGTTTAGATACGATGCTTTCGATGATGTTAGCCCCGCTTTCTGAATGGAGCGGATTTGCAACACCGTGCGTTTTAAAACAAGTGTTTTCCGAATCGTTTGAAATACATTCTTGATCAATGACAAAGTTCTCAGTTGAGTAAATGGTCCCTCCCTTCTTCACAATAATGACGTCGTTTTCTGTGACCGTCTTTTCGAAAGGGACTGAATTTTGTGTTTTTTGACCTACGCTGGACAGCATATTGCTCATGGGCCATCTTTGTTCCTGACTTTTTTGAATCGCCCTGAGAACCTTCACACTTTCCAAGATAGTCTCGACAGTAGGAATTGAAATTCTACAGCTACTCAAGGACTTGGTGCCATCGTTTGTTTCGTCTCTTGGAAGATCGTTGTTGAATTTGGAGGTGATGCCATTCTTGGAAATGTGAATATTTGGTGATGATGGAAAGTGATTTCCTTCCAGATTCAACTGCTCTTGAAAAAACCGCAAACTTTCGTGAAAGTTAATGCTCGCCAGTTCGGGTTCTTCATCTGAGGGTGTGATGAAGGAAGTGACGTCGGTCATGGCACCCTCACCTATGCTTTCTGGTATATCATAAGGGTTTTCGACCTACCTATTCAATAGAAGAGAGAGAAAATTATTGAACGTAATTTTTAAAACGATGTCTTTGAATTAAATATTAAAACTTTTCATAAACAATATGAATGAAACAAACTTACAGCATTTAATGAACAATGACATTGAACTAATCAAACAACTTTTTGTAAAGAAACGTCATTCAGCATGTTTCTAACTGTTGTCAATGAATGAAATGAACAATTCTCTGAAGCTGAAAAGTATATACTTATCAATAGGAAAACTTCTTTAAAAATTAAGTTGAGAAGAGAAATGCATCCAGTCCTGATTTGTGTTTTTCGGCCACCGATGATTCTGTCGGCTACCGCGGTTTTTTTAATTTTATTTATTTATTTTTTCCACTTTTATTTTCCTTTTTTCTTTCCTCATTCGTAACTGTGTCTTTTTGGCCTCCCAGTTCCAACCGTTACAAAAATATAATTTTCACGCTAATAAAACTTTTCGATGTAGAGAATGTTATCTAGTTCCCTTTAAGAGATTTCCTTTTTTAATGGTTTGTATATTTTACATATGGTCATTTTGAATATACTTATTCGTACTTAATAAATCAAATTTTTACTTAAAACGATTTTATTCATTTTCCTTGAGACAATACTTCAACCATCACTATAATATCTATACATTCATAGACAAAAAAAATTAGCTGACCTAATCTTTGATTTTCTAATCATTTACTCATATCAAAGTAGTCATTACATAAGTAAAATTTCGTCTCATTTTGACGACTCCTTCTTGGTGAGCTAATTTTTTTTTGTCCATGAGTGTATAATGGTGATCACCGCCTTCATTTTCTAGATGACTGAATGACTGAACAGTTATAGAAATTATTATTTATCTTTTCTCTTGATTATGAGTTGTGAGAACTCATAATAGATAGTGTGTGTGTGTGTGTGTGTGTGTGTACAGGTTTTTCTTTGTAGTCGAGATGTTTTGACTTATAAATAAATATAAGATACCAGGCATTTAAATAAGATATGACGCAATTCAATTCTACTAAAACGTAGTCTATTGTTTTGATGCACGGCGGAAAAGAATCATGATGAAATGATGATGCATTCTTTCTTTATCATTATTATGACCATAATTATTGTCCGCTCTAGAGACGGTAAAATAACTGAAGCGAGAATATTTTTGAAAATCGTTGTAGAGAAGACCGAGTTATTCTAAATGATTTTAATTATGTTTTGATTCACTAAGGTATTGTAAGTATGAATATCATCAAAACAATAATAATTTCTGCTTTTTTTTTTTTTATCTAGTTTTGAAGAAGAAAAATGACAATTTTAGCGAATGAACAAATACCTTAATTTAAATCTGTTATTGCTAAATCTAATGTTGACTCGATTATTCTTTTTTTGAATTTTAAATGTCGTAATAGTTTGAATTAAAACTAAAATAATGAATAATGGAGACAAAAAAAATTGTTATACTAAATGATTTTTTGAATAGCGATTTTTCGCAATATTTTTCAGTTTTAAATTTTTGATGTGGAATAAAACATACGCCTGGGATTAATTTTTAGGTTACGTATTATTCAAATAATTTTCCAACAATAAAACGCAAGATACAATCTTAAGCTATGCAATGTTTGATAGTTATAATGACTAAATATTTCCTTCAGAAAAGGTCATAATTTGTTGGTTGTAGACGCAATTTGTTTGTTTCAACATGTATTTGCATGCATCCGATGAAAAAATGGCAAGTGAGTAGATTGCCCTCATGTTAGAAGCAGCTACGTAACGCTTTCAAGGACATTAAGGGCATTGACAGTTAGAATTAATGACCACTATATTTAATTAAAATAAAAGTTTGGAAAAGTCTCGAATTATTGCAGAATGTATTATAGTAGAGTGTGCTGCTTCTGAAATGATTGTCATAATTTCAAACCTTTTAGAATATAATTAAATAAAAGTAATGTGAGAAATGCTAAAAAAATAAAATAAAATATCATTGAGTTTATAATTGTTAAAAAAGTAATAACAAACAAGATAAGAATAAAAAAATGGCCTTCTTATTTAAGTTTTACCCGCTTATTTTTATGGTGAATAATCTCCTCAAAAATTCAAAAATATTATTTTTTAAGGACCTAAAATTTTTTTTCAAAACCATAATAATATTTTTAATATCAAACTAAATAAAAATTTCCAAAATTTCGACGGTTCCAAAATTTTGGTTTATTCTTTGAGTAACCTTTAATAATATTATTTTACAGTTGCGGAAAAATTCTAATGATATTTTTAGTAATAATTATTTTAATTTAGTAATATTTTTTTAAAAAACACTTGAATGAATGGTTTGAAACTTGAAAAAAAATGGTTTAAAAAATAAATAAATAATGAAAAAGAATCCTGATAACAACTTACCTTGAAATATATAATTTATGCAATAGATAATGAATATTCAATAGATAATGAAGGTCTAATATATTTTTTTTATAATTTAATTTGATAACAGTTTATAGAAAAGAAACTAAATAAAGTTTGTTATTGTTCGCAAACTTTCCTTGAAAACTCAATATCATTTGATTTTTCTTTACTTTTATTTTTATATTTTAATTTGATAATAGTTAATAGAAAAGAAACTAAATAAAGTTTTTTATTGTTTGTAAACTATCCTTGAAAACTCAATATCATTTTCTTTTTTACTGCCACAATAATTTCAATAAATGTTGTCCTATTTTTTCTTTTTTTATAAAGTGATGGAAATTGCTCTAGATTTCTTATGAAATCTTAATGTAAATCTAATAATTCTTATATAAAGAAAAGTATTAATAAATGAATAAAAATATAGTAAAAATGTAAATTCACGAGAGTTCCTTAAAAAACATCTTATCAGATTCTTAAAAAACATCTTCATTGGAAAGCTCATTTGATGTACTGGCATAATTAATTCAATAAATGTTGTCTTATTTTTTATGACTCCTAATTCATAATGTGAGCGAAAATCTTTCGCATGGAATTCTTCAACATGAGAATAGAATCATAATTTGTCTGCTTAATTCTTATCACGTCATTCGTTCTTTGGAAGGTCGACATTCAGAAACTAGTCAGAATTAAGAATGAATTGCCATTACATAATATAACTCTGTACAGTTAAAAAAAAAAACAAGTAATTTAAATTACGACTAAGAAAATATTTCAGATTAAATATTAACTCTCTTCTGATGTCTGCTATTAAACAAAACAAAACATTTATACATTTTGTATTAGTTTTCTTTTTGGCCTTCAGACATCTGAGATAATTTTTAAAAACAAAATTTTTTAATAAAATGTTAGTCTGTTTTTAAATAATAAAAAATATTCGTGCTATTGAACCAACATTTTCAAATGTATGAATGTACAGTTCCCTGTGGCCATATTATGAGACGCACTGTATGATTCTATGTAAAATCTTAATTATCAGGTGATACTCTATACAGCTTTATTGTTTTTACCCGTTATTGTTTTTACCCGTTATTGTTTTTACCCGTTATTGTTTTCCCTCGACTGAAACCGGTTCACACTTAATTATATTCGTGTATCAATGGGTTAACATTGGAATGCAATACGTTAAAAATAGATACAAATGGAAAGTATATGAAAAATCTCTCTAATAAATACCCATTACATGTATGTTTAAATATAAAAGTATTGCCTATAAACTCGTGCAAAACATACAATTATTAAAACACCATAGTGAGTCTAATTATTTGGTCTAATTATTATTATATACTAATATAATACCTCATATCATCTAATTTTACCAAATGATAGACTAACGTAAACAAATGCAAACCGGTTTCTGCCGGTTAAAAAACAATAAAGCTGTTATAGAGTATCACGTGATAATAAAGATTTTACATAGAATCTTAGAGTGCGTTTAATAATTTGGCCTAGTTGGATTTAAGGGTGAAAGAAAATGAAAAAAATTGTAGCCATAGAGTGCTACTAAAATGGTTATCTCACAATTATGTAAATATTATAACCTTAAAAGAGTTTCTCAATTGATTATTCATGCAGAGGAAAAAGTCTTTCATTTACGTTAGTTAAAATTTCCTTATTCCAAAAAAAATAATTTTTATCCCTCATTCAGGAAAAAAGTTTAAAAATAAATTATAACAATATTCCTTTTACTAAAAGAAGGAAATGATAGAGTTGATACTTTTAAACAGGTAAGAAATTAAAAACATGTCACAAACACAGCCTCCGGTAATTCGTAATAATAACTAATAGTCAAACACTTTCGAATGTATGATGTTTGATTTTTTTTTCAGATTCAGAATTTTTTTTCATCAATTCCTATTTAAATCTTTGTTAAAGGAATATAAAAGTTTTTAAAGATTAAAAAACAATTAATCAAAAAACCGTTGTAAAATAGTTTGTGCATATATTTGATATTAGAAAGGAAAATTTATTTTCTTAAAAAAAAAAAAACTTTCATGAAAAATTAGCTATAACCTAATTTTTCGTGGAAAAAAAATAACGCGTTCTAAGCGTTGTAGTTTTTTATTTCTTCTCGTTAACATTATAATGAGCATAATCATCATAATAACGTTTTATAACATTGATAGGCTAGAAATAAAAAGAAAACATGAAGCAACATCGTACACGAAAAAAAACGTTATCCTGACCAAAAAAAAAGGGAGTCTTATTTGTTTTTTTCTATTTTAGGTGTCACTGTGGATGCAGTATTCTTATTATAATTACTTACATCTGACACAGCATTAATTAATTCAATATTTATCGTTTAAATTAATTAATAGCTTTTATAGATAAAATTTTTCGAAAAACTCAACTGCAAAGCACTTTTACTTTCAGTATAGCGCTTATATAAAATTAAACGTAAATTTATCTGGACAACACATACAAATATCAAAATCACTTACAAAATACACCTTTTGAATACATTTTTTTTTTTTGATAAATGTCTTTTTCGGGATAACACTTTCATAAACATAACTATTTTAATCACTTTTCACTTATAACTTTTAATAGGGTTAAATGAATCACTATTATAGAATTTAAAAAAGGTTTTTTTTTCATTAATTTGTCTAGATAACACTTTCATAAGAATAAATATTTTTTCGGAAATCCCTCTTTTAAAAAATTTTTTTTTCGGAATAACACTTTCATAGACATAACTATTTTAATCACTTTTCACTTATCACTTTTAATGGGGTTAAATGAATCACTATTATAGAATTTAAAAAAGTTTTTTTTAATTAATTTGTCCAGATAACACTTTCATAAACATAACTATTTTACCAGGAAACACTTTCATAAAAATAATTATTTCTTCCGAATAACACTCTCAAAAAAGCAATGAAACTCTTTCATAATAATAAACACGATCAAGGTGTCCTCTGTCATAAAAATAAAGCTACTCACCGCTGAATGTTAGAAGAGCAGACGAGAATGAAGAAATAAAAATGCGCGATTTCCACTGTTGATGCAAAGATTGTCAACACAACCAGCAAAAAGTTTTTTTCCTTGCACCTACAACTCCAACACACACACCGGGGAGAGGGATGGAGAAGAGGACTATTGTCAGTGCGCAGGTTACAGCAACGGCAATCATCAAACCGTGACGCGGGAAGGTCACACGCGTTTCGCGGACCAGAAACGTCACGTCATGTCTTTAACGATGCGAGTCGGGTTTTTTTTTTCTCTCGACAGAGGACCCAAAGAAAGAAAGCTTCCATGACACGACTTAACGGAACGTTTTTAATTCTTTCTATTCCATCCCTTTATTGTGTCTGTTCTTTAAAATCGGATTATTTGTAAAGGAGGACAATTACTAAAGTTTTTGGCATTCATTGCATCATTTGATCTATGGCAGATTTAAATGTGAATTCCCACTATCAAAAATAAAACAGTTAAACCTCGCTACAAATCTATTTTGGGGCCCAAAGAAATAGAGTGTTGTAGAGGTGGCCGGGATAGCCTGGTCGGTAGGGTGCTGGGCCCATGTCCCAGATTTCGTGGGTTCGAACCCCGCCGGCCGAAGACTCTCCGCGTAGTAAAGTGACTGATGCACGCTAAATCTGTCGAGTCTTAAAGTCCTCCATGTTCCCATAACAAATCAATACCTCTGGGGGTACTGATCCAGGAGTTTCCTTGTCTTCTGGATTGGTTCAACATTACAAGGCTACGGAGTTGAACATTAGTAGTNAAGAGCAATCGCACCCCCTCTGCCTAAACAGGCTGACGTCAAGAACAGCAGAGGATATGTTATTATTTATCGAGGGGCAGTGGCGTAGTTTTCGTTTATGTTCGAGGAGTTCCCTTGTCTTCTGGATTGGGTTCTAAATGACGAGGCTACGGAGTCGAATATGAGTAGTCGTAAACCCGAAAGCTGGGTCGACTGTTCAACCGACGGTTATATATTTAAAAAAAATAGCATTAACGGTAAAAGTTTTGAGAAAAAGAAATTTACATTTGCATTATAAAGAGAGGTTAACCATAAAAACCTCTTATTGTTAGCCCGACGACATGGATCCATTATCCTGGGAATATTTTTCATCAGAAAAGCGGGCCTAAAACCACTGATCGCCGATCCATACAAATCCTTATTTTTACTATTAACCTGCTGTTATTAGATAATTAAATAGTAATCAACTCATGGTAATCACTCTGCTCATTCGAAGCAGACCATTTATCATTTGGAATTATTTTGGTATACCTAGCAGGAATTTTTACTATTTTAAATTAAATTAATTAAGCTATTGTTTTCGAATCGTTTGATTCATTTCATCACTCATTCGTTTAAATGATTCTAATACTTTCACTTTCTATTCATAGATTTAAATTAGATAAATAATAGAGAATTTATTCATTCGTAGAATATCAAATTGTTTTAATCGATTCGTGAAACAAAATCGTTTATACGATTTGAAACTTGAAACGTTTTCTTTTTTGTTCTGTCTTTTTTTTTTCATGATAAGANCATTCGTTTGAATGATTCTAATACTTTCACTTTCTATTCATAGATTTAAATTAGATAAATAATAGAGAATTTATTCATTCGTAGAATATCAAATTGTTTTAATCGAATCGTGAAACAAAATCGTTTATACGATTTGAAACTTCAAACGTTTTCTTTTTTGTTCTGTCTTTTTTTTTCATGATAAAGCATCTATTGGTAGCTCTTATGTTTCCCTTTATAAAGAAAGATAATTCCACAAAAATAATTAAAATCTTTTTGCATCATATGTCTCTACCGAACCTTTAAATAAAAATTTAGAATTTTTATTAACCAAGGAAAACATTCTTCAAATAAGAGCCAAATTAGTCAGAAAAAATGTCCCCTTCAGTAAAAAATAATTAATTGGATAATCTATCAGAGTTGTGTTTTAACACGTGTGCAAAAGTTACGAAAAACACTCGTAAACCACAGCCAAATTATGAGACTCGCACTCTAAGATTCTATGCAAAATCTTAATTATCAGGTGACAACTTTATTGTTTTCATGTGATTGAAACCGGTTTACGTTAGTGTATCAATGGGTTAAATGGAGACGATAAATAATATAAATTTGACGAATATTTATTATATCAGGTATTATATTATAATAATTAGACCCAATTATGAGACGCATTGCCCAATAATGACGTGTTTTGCGCGACTGTATAGGCCATACTTTTATATTTAAACATCCATGTAATGGGTTTTTATTCCGATTATTTTTTTATATACTTCCTATTTGTATTTATTCTTAGCGTATTGCATTACAATGTTAACCCATTGACGTAAACAAGTGCAAGCAGTCACATTAAAAACAATAAAGCTGTACAGTATTTCATAATAATTAAGATTTTACATAGAATCTTAGAGGGAGTCTCATCATTTGGTCAGGAACTGCATAGCATAAGTTATTTTTGCTCCTTCTTTTTTCAGGAAAAAAAAGTGGATATATGTTTTAAAAAGTCAGCTGATTGACTCTCCAGTTGAAAAAAGTGTCTAATTTCGCCCCATACTTTGCCTGTCTTTAAATGCCTGTAAAAAGCTAATGCTAAATGGGTAGCGATCTCCAACAAAAGAAAATGAAAATCGAAATACACTGGCTGACAGAAAAAAAAAGATTTCTGAATCGATGTCATTTCGAGAAGTTGTGCTTTGTTGTTGAGGAAGAAGGGGGGGATTGCACGGTTGGAAGAATCATCCCATGAGAAAGAACATTCATTTCCTCATTCCTTCCTCTTATCATTTTCTTCTATTCTGTATTGATTTCCGAAATGTGACTAGATTTCATCATTTCATTCGATCCAGTCAGTAATAACTTACTCAATCATTCACAAACAATATGTAAAGCACAACTCTTCGATATCTGCAGTCCCTTGGCATAAATTATCATCCCTTTATTGNTTATCAGATTCCATGTAAAATCTCGATTTATTGTTTTGACGCGGTTTGCACTTGTTTACTTAAATGTATCAGTTGGTTAACATTGTAATGCAATACGTTAAGAATAAATACAAATAGGTAGTATATAACAAAAATCTTCTGATTAAAAACCCATGACATGGATGTTTAACTATAAAAGTATTGCTTATACAGTCGCGCAAAACATGTCATTATTAAAACACTACAGTGCGTCTCGTCATTGGACCTAATTATTGAAGTTATACTTCTTATGCGACTTCCAACAAGGTTGCGTTAAACGTTTAACGCTACATTTTTATGGGCCGGGAAATCACGTGGTAAGATCCAGTTTGCCCTCATTCATTTCCATATTGTTTTGGTTCTCACTGGCATAAAAATAATAAAAGTATTGTTTTTCTATAAATATTTTTCTAGTTTGTTTTGATACNATTATTGAAGTTATACTTCTTATGCGACTTCCAACAAGGTTGCGTTAAACGTTTAACGCTACATTTTTATTGGCCGGGAAATCAGTTTTCCCTCATTCATTTCCATAGTGTTTTGGTTCTCACTGGCATAAAAGTATTGTTTTTCTATAAATATTTTTCTAGTTTGTTTTGAATTTAATAGGGTAGTATATCTTATTTTCAAATTTAGTGGATAACAATTGTAAAAAATGAGTGAAAACAATCCCACGGACAATGCGACGGATTTGAGGTTATGTGAAGGTACGTCTCTTTTGAATATCAATTGATTGTTAGGTTTTCTCTTCTGAAATTACATTCACATACATTATTAATACAAATACATTTTCCAGGGAGAGACGATGAAGCATCCACAAGCACTTCCACTGGTTCAAGAGCTCCAGGAGGGAAAAATGCACAATATTACCGTGATTAAAGAGCACGGAAGGAAAAAGAGTCGTTGAATAGAACTAGTGATCCTCCTACGACTGCTGATTCTTCTACAACTAACGTCGCAGGTTACGAAGTTTAACTTCTTCCGCGCGGAGGGATTCCACGCACTTAAATATTATACTAATATAATACATGATATAATTGTATATTTATATAATATATCATCTAATGTACCGAATTTACATTACTCTAATATAACCTATAGATACGTGCAAACAGTCGCATAAAGAACAATGCAGCTGATAATAAAGATTTTACATAGAATCTTAGAGTGCGAGTCTCATAATATGGTATTTTTCAACTACTGAAACGCGTGTTTTAACGAAGTTCAATAAAAGCTTTAAATGCACGCAAAGAAATACAAACTAATTTGGAAACTTGTAATGGGACTAGTAACTGTAGTACTTTATTAACATCGCACTAAAAATGGGCTATTGGCGACGATCTGCGAAACATTCCTCAGAATCATCCAAAAACATGCCATGCCATTACAATTTTGATCCTCTGCAGAGGGTATTGCTCTCCCGCTTTTTTAGCCCTGCGAACTGTTTTAACGAGAACCGATACTACCCACCCTCTGTCCCTTCGCAGAGTAATCAAAGCGACCGCTAACAGTGATACTTGTCTTCGGTGATCTGTTGGGAACATTTAATGTAAAGAATGAATTTATTCATTATTTCATTTATAACTAACTGTTTCGAAATCAGGTTATATTGGGCAGTTGAATTCATAGGTTTTTTTACCTGGTGTAGGTTAAGTCTAGTTTAGATGACACTAGAGTTTTTTTTAAATTTTTTACATTTTGTTCTCAATACTCATATTACGCTCAAAATATGTTGAATGGAGCCGTGACGTGTGAGGGACGTTCGTNACTTTTGCGGGGGTCGATGGAGATTTCGAAGAATTATATAGGGGTCGATGATCAAAAAAGTTTGGCGACCCCTGGGTTAGAGTCTTTTCGCCGTCAGGCTAACCGACAGCGGTTCTCCTCTCCATGTGGGTTAGTTCCATCAAAAAAGTCCTCCACGAAGGAAAAATTTCTCCCAATCCAGGAGTTCCCTTGTCTTCTGGATTGGGTTCAAAATGGCAAAGGCTACGGAACATGAGTAGTCGCAAACCCGAAAATTGTTATTAAAAATAATTATGATTGTTAATTGAGAAATAAACTATTAAGGAAACCATTGATCCATGTTTCAATCAATGTTTTTTACCAGAATTTCAGAAAATAGGTACTCAGGGGTCAAGTTTTTTTTAGAGTTACCTATTTTGT